TTGCTAATCATAGATGTATATCCAAAACAATTGTATTTAACAATGTGACATGCTTGTATAACAAAGTATTCACAAATTTAAACAAAATCCGCATAGTCTAGATGGTTAGGCCGATTGCTTGAGACATGCTTGTATAACACTTCAAAATTTGTCTACTCTACTTTTTAATTGTTATTATTATTATTATTTTAATTTTTATTTTATTTTATTTTTTTATGGTTAAAGTGCATATATATAATTTTGATAGGAGGAGTTTATGTAAATATTATGTAGATTGTTCAATTCCCTCTTGTTCTATTTTTATTTTTAATGTTTAAATTTTTAAACAAAACTTCTATAGACAATTTAGGTTTTTTAATGCTTTCTTCTAGTCCAAATAACATACGACGATGGGTTAAATTATTATTATTATTATTATTATTATTATTAATAAAGTCAAATTAGTATATTAAGATTTTTTGTATATACAACTATTTTAAAAGTCGGTACTGTGTTTGCCATGGGCATAAGATAAGTCAACACCGGCCCTATGATTACTTTAAGGCATTTGAAAAGTCATCGAAGAAAAATGAAAAAAAATTAGAGTTTCAAATCAATATGATGCTTGAAAAATGTTTCTATTATAATAGATACTAGACCAATACTTATGCGTTACACAGAATACAACAATACATTTGAAATATTTACAAGTATAGGTTTTAAAATATAGGGCTTAGGTCATTTTTGGTCACTTAACTTTTGGTTTTGTGCTCATTTGGTCATTTAACTCTTTTTAAGTTTTAAAAGGTTATTAAACTTTTGTCTTTGTGCTCATTTAGTTACTTAACTTTTGGTTTGGCCACATTTAGTCACCTAACTTTTAAAATTATGCTCATTTAGTCACTAAACTTTTAAATTTTTTTAAAAGTTTGGTGACTAAATAAGCAAAATTTTAAAAGTTAGGTGACCAAATGAGCACAAATCTAAAAGTTAAGTGACTAAATGTAACCAAACCAAAAGTTAAGTGAGTAAATGAACACAAAGTCAAAAGTTTGATGACCTTTTAAAACTTAAAAATAGTTAAGTGACCAAATAAACACAAAATCAAAAGTTAAGTGACCAAAAATGACCTAAACCCTAAAATATATCAATAACTTTGTTGTTAGCTCTTATATAATAAAATCTTACAATAAGTTAGTATATAAACATTGTTTGTTTTAAATTATACGATAATGTAGATATCTTTTAAAATTTTATAATCCCAATTGTTTCAATAGTCTTTACGTGCAGGTTTCTCATAAATAAAATTAAATATAATATATAGTTTCATGATATTTATAGTTGTTATGATTAATTAATTTTAAAAAGTTTATTTGCTTAAGATTTTAATTTCTATCATTGTAAGTATTTAAAAAATCAAACCTTATTTTTGTTTATAAAGATAACAAAATAATTTTTGTATATAATATTATTTTTAACTATTGTTGTTGTAAGTTATTGAAAATAACGTATTTGAAAACTCTTAATTATTTTAATTTGGTTTAAAAAATTTAACTTTTTTAAAATTTATTTGACAAATATTGTTAATTTTTTTATTAGAATCATTTAATACAACATACATTTTTTTGTTTTAAAGATAACATTATAATTTTTTTATATACTTTTTTACTTTTAACTATTTTTATTTTAAGTTATTTATAAATTATGATATTGTATACTTCAAAATACTTGCACATTTTACAATAACATAAAGTAAAAATTATTATTTCAATGTTAATGACAAAGACAATTATTTTTTATTGCATACTATTTTAATTTCATTATTGTCTTTCGCACAACAAATGGACATTCGCCTAGTTAAATTCAATAAAAGATAATACACATAACCAAATTTCTAGACCATAACAAATAGATTTATTTAAAAACTACTATGAAGAATTAAATTAAAATAGAACAAAGAAAACTAATAATTTGGATGATGTTTCAACACTTATTGACAATTTATATCATGTAATTAATTAAAAATTAAATAAGATAATGTAATCCGAAAGTATAAATACAAAAGATAAATATAAACATTTCAAATAAACTCTGAATTATCGCTTTCCAATCATATCTGAGACTGTTCATTAATGTTACTTTTTATTATTTAACCATTCTGCTTAATAAGTGATTAAAGTGATTGACAGTTTGATCTAGATTCACTTCTGATTTCTCAAAAAGGATCCAAACTTTGACAAAAGTGTCGTTTGCAGAGAATGTTCCAGGTCGCATCACCTGAGTATAATTCCTTCGATCTGTCCCAAAATTTCTTTGTAGTGTCGTATAAGTTGACAAGACGTAATGTGTCAGGAGGAAGAGCAAATCAAATGATTCTCATTGCCTTCAAATTACACATCAGCTTGTCCTTCTCATAATTCGGAATTTCTGTATTTTCAGCAATGATTCCATCATAGTGAGTTTGTGTTTTTACTTCTTCTCTCGTACCAGATACTTGTACGTTTCAATCGTCATTGTGTGCCAAATGCTAGATCCATGTGTTTCGATTCCCAGCACATAATCTTCGAAATAAAGAGCCCAAACTTCGTAACCTTCAGGAAAAAGGATAGGAATCCTTGTTGTTGATCTAATGTTGCTTGTAAGATTGAACGAGAGTGAGTGAAGATCATCTTTATACATTTTAGCGAGAATTCAATGAAATTGAATATAGAATCAGATGTGTAAGATTAAATCGAGTTCAAGGGAAAACGAAAGATTTAGATATGAGATCTATAATCAATTTGCAACGAAGAGATTGCAAAATGCGGAAAAGATTGAGAGAACAAAAATAAATCTAAAAGAACTAAAAAAACCCATAACTCGACAAAAGAATAATGATTAGATTATACTATCTCCTGCTCTAATACCAATTGTTAGAATAATATGATCGTCAGATTCTATATTATAAGACGAAATAAGAAATGAATCAATGATTTGGAATGATAATGATTGAAAAGAAATTAATCTTTGTTCACTTTGCATTAGAACAATACGTATACAAGATCGGAACGATTCTTTCTATGCTTGACATAATTTGTTAGTAAAGGACAATAACATAACTCTATTTATAGACGCAAAAAATAACGATTCCGAAAATAGACATGCCCATTTCGGAATCTGAACTAGAGTAAATTCCAAAAACAACTATTTTGAAACAACGCAAGTGATGATTTAACATACAACTAAGTTAATGGTGATTTACCGGAGTCTTTTCACCTAAAAGACATAATAAACGAGACGAGCGGAAAATTTGCATGATGATTTTATTTATGGAGGTAATTTTGTGATTTTATTTATTATTTATAAATAACTCTTGGGTTCTGTTTGATTTTTTAACATATATCTGATTTTTTTAACGTATATCGGAAAACATTAATTGATGTTTTTGCTTTATTTTTGCATCAATGATATGTTTCTTTTCACATTTCATTTGATTTTATCTATTATTTTTCCGTGGTTTTCCCATGTTACAACTTCCGTACCAATTTGGTTGATCCGGAATGGATCGATTAAACATTCCATTAGGGAGCTTGGTCTTGACTTTTCTGTGTGGTATTCATTCTCGTTCGGCTCTTGGAATCACATCCAACAGTGGTGGGAACCGCTCGCAAAAATCCAACCACTTCACCTACTTCATTGCCCCAACCCTTTCTTGTACCTTTATTGAAACAAAATGGTTTCATGTTCTTTCATCGATTGGTTATTCCTTTTCGTTCTTATCTCTTTCTCCAATTTCGGTCTCGATTAGTTCACAAGATTGAATGGCCAATTCTCCATCCCATCATCAATGATCATCTTTACATTGTCCAATTCAGACATAGATTCAAAATACAACCTTCTGTCTCCTCCTCCTTTCTGTTGGCGTTGGCTCACGTTGCCACACAATTTAACAACAACGAAACAGTCTCCTCTCCTAAGCTTCAGAACCCCCGCTATGTTTCCGACTTTCACTTACCTTTAGTGATTACCGGGCTCTAGGCTCCACAACGTGCACTCTTACATCTTCAATTGGTCTATTCTGTACTCCCCAACAACATTCGTCCGTTTGAACATTGGGACAGTAACGAGAAAAATGCCCCACTCCTCCACATTCATAACAGTTATCGGATCTCCTCTGCAGCAAGCTCTGCTGGACTTACACTCCAAACTGATAGCGTCTAGACGTTCTCCTTGAAGCCGTCTTGTCGCTCTCCCCCTTTAAGAAGTTTGTAAAAAGGCTCAAGTTTTTTGGCTTCCTATAATAGAAACCCCATTTCTCATTATTTTTTTTCATTCCTCTTTTTAGGTTCTTTAACTATTCTTATCCGACTGGTATTATATTTATTTATATTTTTAGGCCAAATATTATAATATTTAGTTGTATAACAATATTTTAGAAGAAATTACAAATTTTAGTTGGACAAATTTTTTTTTTAAATATTTTTGACAAAACTTCAAAAATGGTCCATGTGGTTTCTGAAAATATCAAATTTAGTCCTTAATTTCAAAAAACCTCACAGATGGTTCTTGTGGTTTCAAAACTTTTAATGTTTGGTCCTTATGGCTAACTCTGTTAGTATTTGTCCGTTAAGTGGAGGGCATTTTCATCATTTCACTACCCAGGGACCATTTATGAGGTTTTCGCTTACTTTTTTTTTTAAATAATAATAATAATAATAATAATAATAATAATAATTAATATGCAAGGTCCCACATCTCTTTATCTTTCTCATCTGCAAAAATATGAAGGCATATGTTCTTTACCATTTTAGAGGGCAAGACGATTACATGAACTTTGGGATGGACTTGAGGCGCAAATGTGAATTCTTGATACCCAATTAGATTCCACATGTAATTTCTAGGAATTTTATTATAAATTCCCCATGTTTTAATCCCAAATATCGATCCAGTTTTTTGGGTTGTGGTTGTTTCTCTCTTGAACCACTTCCAACCCGTTTCGATTTGGTAAAAAAAATTCGTTTTTATTAATTTAACCCACGAAAATGACGACGAGATGGAGTAGATCGAAGAAGGTAAGAAGAATTTTTCAGCAATTTGATTTTAGCAGAGATGGTGGCTTCAACAGAGAAGAGATGTTTGTTGTCGCTGTAAACCCTAGGGTAAAATTCAGTGACGAACAAATCAGCGCTATCCTTGACGAGGTTTACCGAACGTTCGACGACTTCGTTAGCTTTAGAAGAGGCTTCCACTTCATTGGTGCTGGAAAGGGCTTCATTTTTCTCAAGAGAATTAGAATGATCCAAATTAGGTAAAAAATGAAACAAATGGTTGTGATATACTGAAATCCCTTTAATGGATCTCAAGCAGTCCGATACATCAAGCAGTGAAACTCCTTGGCTTAAGTGATTCAAGGTGATGGTTACCACTGTTTGGGTGTTGATTATAGATATGATGAGGGTGATGAAGGAAGGGATTATGTGGGTTGTCTTAATCTCTTTGAGCTAATAAACTGGTTGAAAGATTTCTTGATGGGTTTGTAAAGGCGAGGTCAGTGTAAGTAGGTTGTTTGTGACATCCCTAATTTTAACGGCCAGAAAAGACCGATTTATTTATGCTTTGTTTGATAAATCAGAGTAATCGTTTAAAGAAAACGGTTGCGAAATTTGTTCCCAAAACAAAATATGATAATAACTTATCAAAACATTTCTCAAAGAGAATGTATTTTCATTAAATAATAAAACCTCGGGATGTCATGTTCCGATACAAACCAAAAGCATAAACAATATAAAATGGACCTTACAAGTTACAACAGTTATTTATATGAAACGACCCAAAAACACGACCCAAAAATTTTCGTTTTTTCCATATAATCAAAACCATAATATAAGTATCATAATCATAAAACATACGCGATGTATCCCCAAAACATAATAAAATACTGTGCGGAAAACTGTATCATACTACATCAATCCAAAACATCAAGAGACATCCCCAGGATAAAGCTATGCTGTGGTGTGTGCGATGCTGTCACCCCGAGCTCTTCCCTTTGCTTGCGGGAGTACCTGAAACCAAAACTGAAACTGTAAGCACGAAGCTTAGTGAGCTCCCCCAAACTACCACATACCATACAATAGCATATAAACACATATTGGGCCTTGCCCACTGCATCGGGCCGAAGCCCGGAAACTGTATCGGACCGAAGTCCGGAACTGACTGGGACCTTATCCCCTGCATCGGACCGAAGTCCGGAACTACTGCATCAGACCGAAGTCCGGAACTGACTGCATCGGACCGAAGTCCGGAACTGACTGGGACCTTGTCCCCTGCATCGGACCGAAGTCCGGAACTAACTGCATCGGACCGAAGTCCGGAACTGACTGGGACCTTGTCCCCTGCATCGGACCGAAGTCCGGAACTAACTGCATCGGACCGAAGTCCGGAACTGTCTGACTGAACATGGCATGGCATAACACATCAACTAGCATAACACATATACGACATGCTACATCGGGCCGTGACCCGGAACACATAATACTTAACACATAAAACATAGCACACAAATCCTGTTCGAACCACGAAGGCATCGAACATACTAACCGCTGCATCGGACCTAAATCCGGAAACTACTGCTAACTGAACGGGCCGACATTGTGGCCTTAGACCCGTTCCTACTGGAAGGAAACTCACCTCGTAAGCTGGCTGCTGAGTGTGTGGCTCGGAGAGCTAACGGCGGCTGCTCCTGAATCTCCTCGGCTACAAGTCCATAAACACACTCAATCAAATACTAAACACTGCACTTGGGGGTAAAATGACTCTTTTACCCTTGGTCAAAGTCAACTCACTCTGGGCTGACTCGCCGAGTCGGGCTACCCAACTCGCCGAGTCCTAGTCTCATCTCTCAGTTCTTCACGCTGCTACTCGTCGAGTGGGGCATCGACTCGACGAGTACCCTCTGAATCCAAGAACTCAGACAATCTTCATCCGACTCGCCGAGTCGTATGAACAGACTCGACGAGTTGTTCTTGATCCCCAAGAAGATTGCCTTGGACTCGCCGAGTTGTATGAACAAACTCGCCGAGTCCCTCCATCACCGAGTCTACTCTCAACTCGCTGAGTCCACTCCCTAACTCATCTCGTCCACTCGACACTAAAAAAACTGAAGAACTCGGAACTCGCGACCTGACTCGTCGAGTCGTTCTTCCGACTCGGCGAGTCGCCGCCATGCAACAGATTTTTACTTGGTTTTGTTTGAATCCAATGCATACAATTGATAGATCTGAGTCCAATAAGCTGTTTTACCACGTAAAGTTTCCAACTTTACGTGCACAACCCCATGAATAAGGGAAATAAGGCTAAAAGATGCATAAAATGGGTAGATCTATGGTTATCATGCAATATAACTCCAAAAAGACAGTAGATCTGGGCTTTACTACACCCCAACATTCAGATCCATAGATATTCCGACTTAATAAGACATTCATGCAAGTGTAAGGCTTGGAACAAGCATCAACTAGCTCTTGGGAGAGCTCTAATGGAAGTTTAAAGCATATAACAAGATGGAACTCCGAAAATACCTCTATTAGCTCTGATTTGGCCTTGGATCTTTGCACTACAACACTTCTCCTTGCTTCTTCCTTCTTCTCCTTCTTCAAACCTTCACAAAATGGCACCAAAACACATATAAGCTCTTCAATGGAGGTTTGGGGCTCTAACACTGTGTTCTCAGGGTGAGGGAGGCGAGAATGGGGGCTATAAGGTGGTATAAATAGTGGGCAACCCGGGGATTTTAGGGTTTCACCCAGACGGACGGACTCGTCGAGTCCGGGATATGGACTCGCCGAGTCCCCGGCTCTCGCGTGCACAGAATATGCGACCCAACTCGGCGAGTCAGGCTAGAACTCGCCGAGTCCCTCTAGAAAAACTCACTACAATTGCCAATAAATCAACATACCGGGAACGGGTCGCTACATTATAACTATTGATCTATAATCCAAATTCTCTCGTCAAGTCCACCAACTTATACCCTTGTGCTATTACCTGTAATGCAAAGAAAACTGAGTGGGTCAGGCTTGGGAGCCTGGTGAGCATATAGGGTTTTCAACCCACAATAATACATTTATTATATTCAATTATCAAACAATCAACCCAAATACTCATCCCCATTATCCTCTTTATTCTTAAGGTTTTACCCTAAGAATCAACTATCCTTTATCCATTCGTTCCTAAGGATTTACCTAAGGAATTGACACGAAGTCCATTGTTGCCAAAGCTTATCTATCAGATACTAAATCCATAGTTATCAGGCGCTAACTCCATAGTCACCAAGGTTTATACAATAGTTACGAAGTCACATCGTCACCAAGGTTTATCAATAGGTACTAAGTCACATAGTCGCCAGCGTTTACTCAATAGGCACGAAGTCACATCGTCACCAAGGTTTATCAAATAGGCACGAAGTCGCATCGTCACCAAAGCTTACTCCATAAGCACAAAGTCGCATCGTCACCAATGCTTTACTCAATAGGCACTACGTCTCATAGTCACCGCTATTTCATCTCCCCATGTTCTACCCGACACATTTGTAGATATAAAATACATATACAGTTTAAATCATTTAACACCCGTATAAAAACATCAATTCCAAGCCCAACTCAAATAGACAAATAATATATAACACATAACACGTATTTCATAGCTAATAGTTTATATTTATGTGTTAGAAGAAAGTAACTATACACTCACACCAAACATATACTTAATACATTCAAACAATACTTGTATTAATATCGTGTTTATGAAAGGGACTATACACTCACGTGATCAGAAGATGATCGGACAACACTACGGATCTAAGAGTAGTATTCTTCGGTGAAACCGAGACCACTTCACAGATCGGGTTTCTCGCGGACAGAGCTTTGACTCGGAAATTCTTTTCTTCTCGGGATCTTCGGGCTTCAGGACTTGCTTCGGGCCTCGAGGTTGATACCGGGGCTTAGGGGGTATTTCTTTGCACGTAAATCGAGGTAAAACGGGAGAGAGAGGAGAGAAAATAGCAACCCTAAACGGTTGGCCCTTCAAATCTATTTATAGGGCAAAATTTGCCCTTGCCACGTCGTGGGCATGGTCGTCATTGCATGCGTCATTGCAAGTTGCGTCTGGGGGACTCCAGGAGGTGTCAAAAGACTTGTCACGTCATGGCACTGCTTGCCACGTCGTGGTATCTGGCAATTTTGGGGTTTCGCGCCCTGAACTTCAGAAATTCATAACTTTCGCATATGAACTCTGTTTTCGACGTTCTTTATATCGACACGTAGGTGAGATTATGACCTACAACTCTCGTTTAGACTTCGTTGGCTAAATTTGACTTTATTTTTAATATAATTTAAATATATTACTTATATATTATTTTTAGTAGGTTGGGACAGGAAAACTCCATTATAAATTCATAACATCTTCATCTGATGTCCATTCTCGCCTATCTTTTTATCGTTTCACTACTATTAATGAGATATTCGATTCTCGTTTAGATTGTTTCGGCTAAAAACCGTTCGATCTCAAATCGAGTATTCGGGCTGCATACCGCTAAGTCGAAACTTAGAAAAATCATAACTTCCTCATATGAAGTCAGATTTTGACGTTCTTTTTATGCACGCTCACGGTTTAACGTATTCTACGACTTTCGTTTATATCGCTAAGGATAAATATCGCTCTAACGTAAATTCACTTTTTACGTCGCGTTGTGTCGTGCGGGTTCTGTCGCGAAACTTCGACAGGTCATAACTTCTTCGTTATAACTCGGATTTTGACGTTCTTTATATGTGGAATCCTTGTAACATATACTATAACTTAGTTAAGATTACTCATTCTAAATAATCTATCATCAAAAAGTCATTTTTGACGCTTATCGTCTCTAAAATGACTAGCCCTGATCTACGGGCGTTACATTGTTACAAAGTATTTGATTTGGATGATGAATCAATACTATCACTATGAATCGAAGAGGACAAAGAGGAAGTGTTAGGAAGGCTGATGTCGAAAGAGAGATCATGAAGTTGAGCTGAAGAGGAAGAAACACAACACCGACACCAACACCAAACACAAAAGAAAAGTAAAAAATTGAAGGGTAAAAAGCTAAGAAATATCTCTTTGAATATAAAAAGGAGAGAGAGAGAGAGGACCCTTCTATATTAAATAATTATATTTTTTTATTTTTTTAAATAAGACAAAACTTCATAAATGGTCCCTGTAATAGTGAAATGACATAAATGCCCTTCACTTAACGATCAAAAGCTAACGGAGTTAGCGAAAAAGACCATTTGTTAAAAGTTTTGAAAGCACAAGGACCATCTGTGAGGTTTTTTGAAATTAAGGACTAAACTTGAAATTTTCAGAAACCAGACCATTTTTGAAGTTTTTTCTTATTATTTATGTTGAAATATGTAGAAAGTCTCTCTCGAACTAGTAACATTAGATGTGTCAAATCTACTTATAGTAATTTTTTTTGATGAATTATTATTTGTGAACTTTTGGCAAAAGTCTCACACACACACACACACCACATATATATATATATATATATATATATATATATATATATATATATATATATATATATATATATATATATATATATATATATATATATATATGAGTAAATTACTGAAATCGTCCCTATGGTTTGGTCAAAATTTCACGTTTGGTCCCTAACTTTTCTTATGCACTCGGATCGTCCTTGTAGTTTGATTTTGTTGCGTTTTTTGTCCCTTACATACATAAAATTAGGGACCAAACGTGCAATTTTGATCAAACCATAGGGATGAAAATCGCAACAAAATCAAACCATAGGAACGATCCAAGTGCAAAAAAAAAGTTAGGGATCAAAAATGAAATTTTGACCTAACCATAGGAACGATTTTAGTAATTTACTATATATATATATATATATATATATATATATATATATATATATATATATATATATATATAAAATTACTACATGGGAATGTGTTAATTTTAATTTAAATAAGATAAACAGTGCACAACTTTATTATTACCGGGAAATATTTAATTACTACCTGGAATGGAACAGGGGATGTGAATTTGAAGAAGACAATCACTGCAGGAAAATTAACGACTAAAATCGACCTGGAACAAGCGATGCAAAATCAAAAAAGACGATATTAGGGTTGAAGATGACTAGTCAATAAAGAATGATCGTGAATACTAAGATCGAAAGAAGGAAAGAAACCATATGCTAGGAAATCGTAAAATCAATTTAAGGATTTGATTGTTCATCTACAAAACGACGTCGAGTTTTATATTCTATACCTAAGCTTAAATGCCTAATAGCCATATATGTACTACAGGTCATTCACTATGAACACAGAAATACAAGTAGCAGACAAATCTATTGAAACACATATGGTTAACGACATCGATACAAATAGTTATCTAGAATCAACTTTAGAATACGAGAAAATAAATGATATCGATGTAAATCTGGGTCACGATGGAGATGAAAGTATCATTGGAAAGGTTTTTAGTACACCTCATGATGCATATACGTTTTATAATCAATACGCTTTTTTACATGGATTTGGTATACGAATTCATTGGGCCTTTAAAAACAAGACGACAAATGAGCCATACCGTAAAATGTACGTTTGCAATAAACAAGGCTTTAAAAGATTGAAGGCTAATAGTTCTGGGGTTGCAAAGAAACAACGTAGAAATTTGAGGACCGGATGCCAAGCAATGCTTCGAATTTCAAAGGGAAAAGATGGGATATGGTTTGCGGACATGTTTAACGATACCCACAATCATGAGTTAAGTGTTACACCTACAAAAGTAATGAAGCATCGTTCTCATGGGAAGCTCCATCGTTCATTGGCATGTAAATCTCTTATGTTGGAGCTTGGTCAATCAGGATTAAAGCCTTCCCAAATAAAAAAGGTTGTTAATGCAATGAAAACTCCACAGGATCTTGATGTTACTTCAAAACAATGTGTGGATATATTATCTGAGCAACGAAGACAATACAAAGGTAAAGAGTTTTACGGGCTTATCAAACATTTCCAAGATAAAGCATTAGTAGATGACAACCAATATTTTGTTGTGGATTTATTTGAGGACGGGTCTCCTCGAAATATTTTTTGGGCCGATGGAAGATCAAGGGATGCCTATACTAAATTCGGAGATGTTGTTGTCTTTGATGTTACATACATGACAAACAAATTTAAGATGCCATTTTCTCCATTTGTTGGGGTGAACCATCATGGTCAAACCATACTGTTTGGTGGTGCATTGCTAGAAAATGAAAAGGAAGAAACTTTTTGTTGGTTATTTGAGCATTTTTTAAAGTGCATGTTCAACAAGCACCCATCTGCAATAATAACTGATCAAGATAAAGCAATTGGTAATGCAATAAAAAAAGTGTTTCCAAACACTCGACATCGCTACTGTGCATGGCATATTAAGAAGCATGAGCTTGAACATCTCCGACCGCTTGTAGCCCATTATAGTGATTTTAAGGAGTCTTATAGACAGTGGGTAAAAAGTGATACAGCTGAAGAATTTGAAACAGAGTGGGAAGTTATGCGTGGTAAGTATAACCTTGAAAATTGTTGTTGGATCATCGATATGTATAACCAATGAAAACATTGGGTTAAAGCCTACTTAAAGGATGTTCTTTTGCCGGCATGCCAACCAGTGGACGAAGCGAGAGCATTCATTCCTTTTTTGATGGATTTGTAAATTCCAAGACAATATTGAATGAGTTTGTAGTTCAATATGATAAAGCAGTTGAATCTCGAAGAGCCGTTGAAGAAGATGAAGACTTTAAGACTATGAACTCGAAGCCAATTCTATCTTCTGTTCATCCAATAGAAGCAAAAGCAGGTGAATGTTATACCAAAAATATTTTTGACATTTTTAAAAAAGAATGGATAGAAGCTACACAAAATTTAACTCATGAAACATTAAGCAAATGTACAAAAGAAATCAAATATAGAGTTGGCCAAGTGGATATTGATAAAGCGCATTGGAGATTTGTTAGTTATCGTTTCACGAATCAAGTGAATGTCAGATGTTCGTGTGCTAAGTTTGAAACATATGGCATATTATGCAAACATAGTCTATACGTGATCAAGAAGAGAAATGTTCAAACCCTTCCTGACCATTATATTTTACCTAGGTGGACACTTGATGCAAGGTTTAGGTTGGGTAGTCACAGCGTCAGAATGCATGAGATCAATACCGAAAAGGAAGTTAGTGCCTTAACCCTATGGTATGTCCGTGCAAACTGTAACAAAGCAATCGAACATGCAAAAGACTCCCCTTCAAAGATAAAAAAGTTCAACAATTTAGTGATAAAGTTTTTAGAAGATGAAATTATTCAGAAAAAGCCAAATGGACCTCAAAACGTATCTCAAGATTCTTGTGTAGGAATTTCCCAGTTAGACATGATGCCTCATAAGGGCGTCCTAAAAATGCAAACAGGATTAAGTCTTCTTTGGAGCTGGCAAAGAAAAAGAGAACTTGTTCTCATTGCAAGGATCTGGGTCATTATGCTACTGGTTGTCCAAGCAGAAAGGTATTTTTTTAAGCTTTATGATTTTTGTAATCTAATGCTCATTTTTTATTTTTCTTTTTGGTATAGGCAGAGGAGGCTTTACAAGAGAAACGATGAAGCTATTTTTTTGAAGTTATTCTAGGGGTGGTACATAATAAGAGAACTAGCTGAATTTTTTTTATTTGATTTACATAAACCAATGAAATTGGTTATTTGAGAGTTTTCATTACTATTAAAATAACAAAATTGGTTATTTGATACTTGAGTTTTCTCCACTCACAATGTACTTTATACTGTTTATTTTAATTAGTGATTTAGTATCATGGGCTCTCATTTCTTATTGGTATTTAATGTTTAATAATTGTTTCATGTTTGTGTATAAAATCCGATCACCATTCTTTGATTATGTTATTATAAAATATTTTATGCACCAAGTGTACCTTCTATGATACAATGCACTAATGAAACAAAGTGTATGTACAATGCAATAATAGAAAAAAAATAGAAAGTAAAATGCTATAATAAGAAAAAAAATTACTATAAATCATTACTTTAATATAGTCGTAATCAATTTAAAAAATAAATTTACAACAAGAATTTTTCTTGACATCGAGTCTAATAATTGGCATTTGCAATCGGATGCAACATCTGACATTTGCAATCGAATGTGGGCGTCCTGAATAAAGATAGAGAGCAAGCAATAACAAAAGTATTGATGACCCTTTAATAAAAATTAGTTGCATAAATTGCAATATATACTATTATATATTGTAGCTTTGTTGTTGGTTTGTGAACTAAGCCATATTAGATGCATCCATGTTGATCTGTGTACACAAAACCAAAAAACCAAAAAGAAAGGCTTAAAAAGGTTTTAAAGTAAACATGATGTATCAACCAGCATGCCATCCCACTCTTGTACCTTTACCACTCTTATTTGATATATTTGACATCAAAAAATATGCAAATCTGTACAGGTTAGAATATGTGCTCAATAATTCTGATGCTCTTGCTGACAACACTAGAGTTCCTGGAACATCATGCCTCTGTTGAGTAAAAAAACTACATACTAACTTTGTTAAATATGTTTTTTTGAATCAATATCAAATAATTAGTTATAATGTCAAATGTGTGTATGCAGATTAATATGAATTTATGACTTAAGCTTTCAACCATAAACATGCTGATCTCATGAAGAAACTATAATTTGGTTTTTTTCCAACTGGTTTCCGGTACATCTCACGTGAAAAGATATACATCAAATTGAACTAATGAATTAGACATACAACAATTTGGAATACTATCATACTAAACCCCAAACCTCAAAAATCGGTAAAAAAAGAGAATTAAGAAAATCCCAACAAGATTAAATTGAGACATCAAACCTGAAATTCTACCGTGATCAAGCACTGACAGCTTATACTGAACAAAATAGAAATACCCACCAACTAGATGACCTAAATACGTAGTGAACAGTGTAGTTCAATTAGTGGGAAACAACACGAAATTGATGACTTTAAGACACTGGGTACGTCTCTGTATTGTATGGCTTTGCTAAAATTCGATAGAGAAAGGGAATTTAGGATAAAAAGTAAGCCTATTTCAGTTCTGATCGTCTTCAAGTTCTGATCGTCTTCAATCTTCAATATTACGACACTCTTCGGTAAGAAAGGATCCGACAAAATTCTTCATATTCAATTTTTTTTGCCTATCCCGATGATTGGAGTAAAACGATAAGGAAGAAGGAAGAAGCACGAGAATGGAATTAACGGACAATCTGGGAGGTGTAGATCGATACGTCAGAAAATGATCACATGAGTATTTGAGGAAGAAAATCAGCTGAAAACGGTGGTGGGTCTTTTTTTTATATGAAACGACAGGGTTTTGGAGGTTCTATACGTAAAGTTGGCTATATAACAGTCATATATATATATATATATATATATATATATATATATATATATATATATATTTGGTCTTCATAATGTTTTTTGGTGGTGAATAATATTTACTAACTAGCGTAGATCCCATGCTCCGCATGGGTTATAATGACTTTTGTTTTCTAATTATCAGTGTTTGGATTAGTCGTGGTTAACTTTGATATATTTACGAAGTGATCGTTCATATAAAAAAAGTTAATATATGATGAAAAGTAGGTTTACATAACAACAACATAGAAATGATATTAGAAAGATAACAGGTAACATAGATGACATCCAAAAGATGGGAGTTATAAAGTACATAATCTATAATGTTAAAGGAAAAAAAAATCACGATAAGAAACAATATAATAGCAACATGATTTCAATTAGTTTACCAATAATAGAAACATATATGTCTTCCAAAAAAATCCTTTAAGGTGATGATGAAAATTTCTCGAAATTTGTCTTTCCATATGTGTCCCTGGCATCTTCTTCCTTCTTTTCAAAAACTCGGTATCCATAAACCTTAATAGCAAAAAGACAATTTGTCCCGAATAATTGTGCTAAATAAACCGTATCAATATCCTCAAATCCAAGCTTTTTGAAAAGAGTAAAATTGGTCAAACCCAATACCCGTTGTTTTATTTTCTTTCATGACACGATGTTGCTTTCTTCACTGACTAAAATATTTCACCTTTTGGTCTTAATTGAAACTGAATTGTCCTTTTGCATAATTCATATAAAAATCAATTTGTTGTATATGTAGGTTAAAAAAATGAAACAATGTCACGTAAATGCACATTTTAGTACATACACATATTTGAAAAAGTTACCTTCCAGTAGGATCCCATTCTATATCAGTTGCAATAAAATGCTCAGCAGTTGCTATAGTTTCAAGCGCATCCACATTGCCAAAATTACAAATGTTTAATCATTTAAGTAGGTTCAAAATGTAATCTTTGAAAAATTGGTATGTGAGAAAATACGATATTAAAAACTTAAAAGTGAGCTTAAAAAAAATTTGATTTTCGACAGTATAAAGATGTCTTAAAAAATCATCCTGATTAACTTAGAAACATGTTTTTTTATCACAAAAATGCCTTAAAAATTCAAACTTGGAAACGAAAATGAAATTGATTGATTGGGTACAAGAAAAGGATGAGTTGTTGAGAGATATTGAAGCTGAAAATTGTTTTTTAGTAGTTAAGAGAATGAATAAAATGGCATAAAGAAATGGTCAAAGATAAGTTAATAAGGGAAAAAAGAATTACTCTTGGGGTTAGGTGAACTCTCATAGGCCAAGAAGGGAACATGTCCAGATAGCTGCCGGTGTTGGTAATGTTGTGTATAAAGCTGCAAAAAAATAACACAATTAAAGAAAAAAAGTTTTAGAATAAATGACCTTCAACAAATTAAAAACAAAACAAAATCACACATTCAAAATATTGAAGTGTGTAGAAAAGGATACCTAATCCCTTTTACAACAAAACTTCAAGTATCCAAAAGAAAGATGCCCAGTCTGTACCGGAGAAAAACATCCATTCATTGATTATGATTAAAAAAAAAAAACAGTGAATTGCCATGAGTGTTCTTCAGCTGAGCTAGTGGCTTATTTACAGAATTGTTTTCAAATTTAGTGTGTCCAAATCGCCATCAATTCTGATACATTAAACATAAAGATACAAATAAACTTAATAAAAGATATAATCATTTTGCTAAGTCTCCATCTGATTAATATGCGAAACTTTCTTGAAGATACATAATGCAAATTATACAAATCAACTTCAACTACGGTGATGCAAAATCATTGGGCAAAACAAAGCCATAGGCTAAAATTTGATCATAAAAGTCAAAATAAGACATAAAGAATAATAACTCAGGTATTAACCTTTCTAGTTTCTACTGCTCAACATACTCCTAACCTTTTTCATCTTTTTGCTCAAGCAGTTGTGGTGGGTTAATCTGGAATTTGGCTAGCGATAGAAGGAGATTTTAGCGGAGGCAGCTAGCGTTTGGAGATGGTGGCAACCAGGAGTTGTTGTCATCACCACCTCAAGTGAATCAACGAAATATGTTCCATGTGAGATGCAGTTGGTGTAGATAGCAACAAAAACGGCACCCCTGTTTCACCCTCTCTTTCTCACCAATTATTTTCCATTGGATTCTGCCCAACAATTTCTGACTGAGCACACAAGAAGAGGAAAACTGTTAAGATAGTTCAAGTAATGATTGAATTTCATGGAAAAAAGTATGATTTCAGAGAAACTAACGTTGGAGTACGCAACTAATTTTAGAATCAGGTAACTGCAGTTCACTCAGACATATTAACAAACACTTAGTATGCCACCACAAGCGAGGTCATTTTCTGATCATATCTCTGTCCAAACACTTCCGTAATCACCTATTCTAAGGAACAATCTAAAGAAAATTGAAAATGCTGGCAAACATGGTTGCATTACTAATCCTCTCATTATTCTTGAAATTTATAATGCATGTGATTCCATTTCAACATTCATGAAAAGACGCATAAGTGAGTCAAGAACCAAAAAATCTGAATCATAACCAAAATGCCCCTCCACATAAATTATATCACCCTGATAATGAACAGATAAGAGTTACAAATTAGGGGAATTGAAGTGTGGAGGCTGGAAACAGAAGAAATAATAAAAGTTATGAAGTTGAAGAGGTTCAAGGAACTTATCATGGATTCCATGGAGTTAATTTTGTACAATTTTAAGCCGAGGTAGTTTGGTGATTGCCGAAATTTGTGATGTTGAGGCCTTTTGGATTATCGTAAGCGTTGTCGATAATCGAGCAGGTGCTCCTGCTACAGCATCCCGTTAGTCCCATACATCGTATCTTCCACAGGAAACATACGGAATCCATTCTTTGAAGGACTTTGAGGCCATGTAGAAGACGTGGATGAAGAGAGTGGTGTGGCGGAGCAATAGTATTGGGGGATAAAAACGGTGGAGGACATCATCGTCGAGAAGGAAATCGGTGGATTATGATAGAAGGGCGTGGACTTGAATCGGTTTAGAGAAGATATGGTTGAGTAATATTATTGGGAATAGAAACGGTGGAGGACACCTGTTGGTAGCACGAAGTCGGTGGAGGCAGAGAAGAACGCGTGGAAACGAAAATAGTTGCAGAGCATTGAGGTGGTGCAGTGCGAATTAACTTAACCATCGTAAAGTAAGTAACCTAAGGAACAGTATCTGTGGTTAGATACTGTAGCTAAGGCCACATAATTTTAATATATAGTATAATGAACTTAATATAATGATAAAAGCAAGCTAAAACAAATTAATTTATGATTTTATTGTAATATTTTTAACTATTACTTGTACGGGAAAAAAATACTTCTATTATGATTTTATATCAATCTATTTATTATACATTTATATTTGCTTATTTAAATTTTTTTATATATATCTCTAACTCTTCAAATTACTATCTAATATTAAAATTAATAATTTTTATTGTTGTTATAAATATAATACTTTTATGAAATGATTTCTCATATATGTTGATCGTGTTGGGAGATATATGGATGATTATATGATATTGACACGTGATATCCATGCAATTGAGTTCGTATTCAAAGTAACCAATTAATAACTACTATTTGTAAGACACTATGTATGAAATCTGTATATTATATGGGTTGATTTAAAAATATTAAAAATTAAAATGTAAACCTTTAATATTGTTTTAAATAAATATTAAAAAAACATATTTATTGCAATTTACTATCACATTTATTACAATTAATATTTTACATATATCGCTATAAGTATTATATGACTTTTTAATTTTTAAAATTGAAAAAAATAAAAAAATAAAATTTGATATGTGGATATTATTTATTTCAAAAATACCACAAAATGACAAATATCAAAACTAATGAGAGATTGACATGTGGCAAATAGATGTTCATTTATTAGAGTAAAAGAAAAGATGTTGAGTTATAAAAGGAAAATTAAAGATAAGTAAAATACAATTAAGATTAACCAATATAATAAATGTAATTAAAATAACATTTAAATCAATCAATTAAGCATCATTAATTAAAAAGCATTCTGAGTTGTAAAATCAAATATATAAGGTTTAATATTGTATTCAATGACTTAGACCTTTTAAATTCTTGATAATTATTACACTTATTTTAATAGTACATCTTTTGGAAATCAATGTACTTTTTATTTATAAATTAAGGGTAAATGGTACAAAAACACTTTTTAAACAGAAATTCGATTTTGACACCGTGTTTTTTTTGTATCAATTTTGATACCGTATTTTCCAATTTATTACAATTCTGACCATTTGACCGGTTAACCAGGTTACATGCTGACGTGTAAGTTTTGATAACGTGGCATGCTGACATTATATGCTGACGTGTCAAAATTGATTTTTTTTTCCATAAAAAACACTAAGTTTTCATTTTTTTTCGATTTTGACATTAAGTTTAATTTTTATTTTAATTTTGACACTATGTTTTTTTGTTCCAATCGAACATCATTTATCAAATTTTGTTCAATTTTGTCTATTTCTCATTTGAAACTGTATAAATATATTTTTTATTACATTTTAAACCGTATAAACATATTTTTTTTCGTTTAAAAACCACATTTTTATTTAAATACAAGGTGCTTTTTTCTTAGATTCAAAGCATTAGTTATATCATGAGAATCAAACTAACCATAAGCTTCTAATAAGATGTAAAAATTTGATGGGTTGCAAACTTGATATCTGAGCTTTGATTGACTACACTCCTCCAAACCTCCAAACACATTTTAAAGTTGCATATTTAATATAAAATACAATTTTTATATAACTAATACATATTTATATATAAAGATATGGTTTGAGTGTAAAAAAAATGTATTTATACAAAACTATGGTTTTTAAATGAAAAAAAAAACATATTTATACGATTTAAATGTATTAAAAAAAATATTTATACGGTTTCAAATAGAAAATTGTCAACATTGAAAAAAATGATGTTCGATTTGGAACAAAAAAACATAATGTCAAAGTTGAAAGAAAAAATTAAACTGAGTGTCAATATCGAAAAAAAATGAAAACTTAGTGTTTTTTGTGAGAAAAAAATTTAATTTTGACACATCAACATATAATGTCAGCATGCCACATCATCAAAACTGATACGTCATTATGCCATGTCAGAATGTAACCTGGTTAATCGGTCAAGTGGTCAGAATTGTTACAAATTGAAAAATACAGTGTTAAAATTGACACAAAAAATAACACGGTATCAAAACCGAATTTGTGTATAAAAAGAATGTTTTTTGTGTCATTTCCCCTAAATTCAAATCTAAACATTAACATAAGCTATTATAAATCAAGGATACTTTAAATAATATGTTAATTTTTTGTACCCACCCATCCATCAAAGTTAAATTTATTTTTTCTTTTCATGAAAAATCCACAGATGGAGCCTATTACGATGATGTAATTTAAATATGTATTTATCATATTGTATACTTAAAAATACTTACACATTTTACAATATTACAATAACATAGAGCAAAGACAATTATTTTTTATTGCATATTATTTTAATTTCATTATTGTGTTTTACACGACGGATGGACATTCGCTTATTAAATTCAATAAAAGATAATCCACATAACCAAATTTCTAGACCATAACAAATAGATTTATTTAAAAACTACTACGAAGAATTAAATTAAAACAGAACAAATAAAACATATAATTCGGATGATGTTTTAACACTTATTGACAATTTATATCATGTAATTAATTAAAAATTAATAAAGATAATGTAATCCGAAAGTATAAATATACTGAAGATAAATATAAACATTTCAAATAAACTCTAAATTTGATTCTTGTTAATGATTTTTCTTTAGTTTATGTCTAACACAAAAAAATACATAATTTTTTTTTGAGTAAATTACTAAAATCGTCTCCATAGTTTGGTCAAAATTTCGTGTTTGATCCCTACCTTTTTTTTTTGCACTCGGATCGTCCCTATGGTTTGATTTCGTTGCGATTTTCATCCCTATAGTTTTATCAAAATTACACGTTTGGTCCCTAATTTTATGTATGTAAGGGATAAAAAACACAACAAAATCAAATTACATGGACGATCCGAGTGCAGAAGAAAAGTTAGGGACCAAACGTGAAATTTTGACTAAACCATAGGGACGATTTCAGTAATTTACTCTTTTTTTTTTTTTTTACATTTTTTGGTCCCTGTATCGGGTAATATTCTATTTTTGGTTTATAGGCTACAAATTCATCAACCCAACTATTAAATTTACATGAAAAATCAAACAACAATACACCAGGAGACACACATGTTACAATGAAAAAAAGAGGCTAAAATAGCAATAGTAATTTCAACATAAACAAAAAAAACAAGGGTAAAACGGTCACTTCCATTTCACGCAAACCTTCCCCCGTAAATGGGATCACAATATCCGAAGAAACACTTGTAATATATGGACCAGTACCACAAACACAAATTAATTTCAATTTGTAAACCAAAATCAGATGAAACTATTTACTATGTGTTCTACCCATACCCATACCCATACCCATACCCATACCCATACCCAACTAGTTTATATTCATTCCAATTTCCACATAGTCCGTTAAATAAAACGTAAAAAAGGCACATGATTAAAATATGCAAATCAGAATTACCACCATTATTCACTCAGATCAGATCACTGTCCTGTGCCCACCAAAAGCCCAAATCTGTTCCAAAAATATATTTAATTCATGTATCTGTATGCACGACACAATATTATTAAGATATTAAAAACTTAAAATTGGAATTTGGTGCTAACCTTAAGACTGGTATCCCAACTTCCTGTGCACAATGCACTCCCATCAGCAGACAAACCCAAACAGCTTACACGAGCCTCATGCGAGTTCTGGAGAGTTCCAAGATTTAAAACCACCTGTCCTCTCATTCAAAATTTCAAACATAAGTAAAAACAACCATTCAAATTTCAAACCCAGCATCTAAATCTTATGTATTTACCTCAGCCAAAAGAGTATCCCATACGAAGCAATCACCATTAGAGTAGCTAGCAAAGAGCAGACGACCTGATATGGAGAATGCAATGGAGGTGACATCAGGCTTGTTATCATCTTGTTGTGGGTGAGTGTAGACTTGAAGCTGGTGTCCAGTTCTGATGTCAAAAAGTCTACAAGTTCCATCATCTGATCCAGTTCCAAACCGATTTCCATCTGGGAAAAACTTCACTGAATTAACATCCCCTTGGTGCCCTTGAAATGTTCTTACTGCCCGAGATGCTACCCGAGTGTCCCAAAGCCGGGCAGTTGCATCACAAGAACCCGAAACAAACATTCTTGAGTTTGACCCGTTGATTGATAAACTGAAACAGTTAAATAATTTATATAAGTTAATCCAGAAAGGGAAATATAAGTTTGGATTAATATTTTTAATAAAATACCTGACAACATCAGCGGTGTGTCCTGATTGAAACTCTCCTCCAAAGACAGAAGTTCTTAATCCTGTAGTTATATCCCATAATACACATGTCTGATCACCAGATCCGGTTATTAAGCGAGTATCATCATCTGGAACATACTGACATGAGGACACGTAACCCTTGTGTCCACTAAGCATTCTTGATACTGGTATATTGCCATCTTTGTCAAGTGGTGAGTTAAGATTGAAGATGGAGCATACACTATCAAGTCCACCACATGCAACTGATTGTCCACTTGGAGAAAAAGCACATGCCATTACCCATGCACATGGGAGTTTAATGGCATGGGTTTTCTGACTTGTTAGAGCATTCCAAACTATTAACCTTCCATCTTGGGATGCACTTACTATTCGATTCTTTTCTGGAGTCCAGTCGAGTGAATACACCTAAATCAATTTAGATGTTGCATATTCAGATATAATGCATCCAACTTTAGGTCAATAGTCTTAATGTTAACACAAACCTTCACAATTATTATCTAATAGCAATTAGTTCTAACATACAAAATTGTGCAGATGCATGGATGATGACAAATCAGAGTGAAGTACCAAATCAAATTTATACAATATAAACCATGGGACTGAAGTTATATTGTAATGTACTTGTGGACCAAAGAAGGGATTGGAACCTTAGAATTCTCTTCAATTTAGCATCGACTTTTAATCTTCGTTACTTTCCCTACTCGGTTGATCATAGCCAAAAATAGGTCAACGGAAGATCATATCAAATGATCCTGAATTTCTAACCACGTCAAGTATAAATCAACCTAAGGTATATTCATCAATATAATATACATAATCATATCCAATATATCACCTCTCTACCACATAGCAACGCAGGTTCTCTAATAAACTACAATGTACAAAATCATATTTGTACCACGATCGAATGCGAATCACCATTAACACAAGGCTAAAGGCTTACCTTGCCGGTGTGTCCCTGTAAAATCCGACAACAAACCAGATCCGTTGGGCCGAGAGCAATCGCAGTCTTACCTTGCGCTCTTGCATAGCTCGCCACTGTAAAACTCGATCACAAAAAAGAGAGATCTATAAGAACATCAGAAACATATATCCGCATATTTTCCAATGTAAACAATTCGAAATACCGTCTGTATCTAGAAGTTGAAGTCGTCGTTCTCTCAATCGTTCCTTGAGAGAATTCAGAGTTTCTGTAGCAGCCGTGTGCCTCTCTTTTAGCTCTGCAACGGACATCTCTGCATCCAACTTTAAGCTTCAATTTGAGCCCTAATTTGCCTTCATCTTCAACAGTTACTTGGAAAGAGTAACAATATGATCCAATTCACTTGTGGATTTACAAATTTGAATAGAGGATTTAGGGTAAAGAAGAGGAGAGAGGTTGCAGAAAATGGAAAAGTTGCAGAAAGTGCAGTTGCAATTGACTAAAGCCGCCGGGCCCATTTATATATGACGTGGCATTCATGACTGGATAGAAACAGTGGGGAGGTGTGGATACCACATATGCTTCGGCCTTTCACCTTTGTGGGTTTTTCTTCCTTTTCTTTTTCCGGTAACTCTCTGGAATCAAATGGTGAAAATAAATACTAGTAATTGCAAATTAGGAAGGTTGTACTATATATATATATATATATATATATATATATATATATATATATATATATATATATATATATATATATATATTATAACAAAAAAAAATGTCTATATCAATCAACGTTATTTTATTATATTTTTAATAAAATATAGACTTTTTTCAATTTTAATTTCAAATAAAAAAGGCAAACATTTAATTCTAAAAAATTTAACAAAGTTTCCAAAATGTTCAAAAAACATCATTATTTTTTAGTATAAAAAATACATTTGAAGTATATCATTTGTATACAAAATACCAACGAAGTACATATTTTAGTACAAAAAATACTATTGAAATTTCCAAAAAGTTCAAAAGAAAAATCATTCTTGTTTTTTCAGAGCATCTTTTGTTAACCTCGTTGTTTCCGGATTATATAGAACACGTTCATCGGAGATTAGTCACCATTGTACCAGTTCACACCAGTTGTGTACTCTCTTTCATTTGATCACTTGATCAGTTTGTATCCAAATTCATATTTAGGAATTCTCATGACATATCTCTTTTGTGTCGCAACACCAATGAACAGCTAACATTGATGTATAATATGTGCATCTATAAAACGTATATATGTTTTAGGTTTGAGGCATAAATGTGATGGGGAAACAAGAATGTTTACCTAAGGTCATTACCCACTTACTTTTCATGTCACCACAAGAACGATCGAGTGAAGGAATAAAAGAGATTTGCACAATTGTTATGAACTGATATGACGGTTCATGATCTCCGATGATTGTGTTCTACATAATCCGACAACGCAGTTAACAAAAAGAATGATATCTTTTGAACATTTTGGAAACTTCGTTATACTTTTAAGTCATTTTTCCATATACCTGATCAAGTATCTGATTACCACAATGATTTATTTGAACACATATGTACTTTGCTGGTATTCTGTGTACAAATAATAATATTAATGATATTTTTTGTACTAAAAAAACAACAATGATAGTTTTTGAACATTTGAAAACCGAGTAACCTACAATAGCCGGTAAAATGGTATTTTGTTTACTAAAAAAAAGATAATGGTCTTTTTTGTATATTTTTGAAACTTTGTTACCTTTTTAAGTCATTATTCCAACTTTTAAGAACTAGTTACCTAGCATTTATTGTTTGTTTGTGGTTTACCCCTTAAATTAGACACTTTTAAAAATATAAAATCTTAAAACTAAGAAATACTGATAAAAATGTGTTGGGTTTAGTTAAGGTTTTTCCAATAAAAACAATGATAAAATAATATATAAATATATTTATATTTAGTTACTGGTTAAATAGTTTAATAATTAATATATATTAATATTGTCTAACAAACAATTATCAAAATTAATCGAATGAAACAAAATCAGCGTTTTTATAGATTTTGTATTGGGACTTCATTTCTATTTATTATTATAAATTTATAATAATATGATTTATGATTATAGAGTTAATTATAAAGAAAAAGAGAAACAAATAGATTGATAACATTAATGTTAATGGATCTATTTTGTGTATTTAATTGTTTGTATTTATTCTAGTATATCCCTTTATTATTTTTAAGGCCCTGTATAGTTGGGGCATATGTATTATAAATTCGTTTCTAGTGTATGAAAGTGTTTTTCATGGGAAATTATTAAACTTACATGGTATCAGACTAGGTCGCTCAACCCTAGCCGATCCTTTACTTCTCCTTATCGCTATTCTCTTTTCAGTCAATCTCTCATTCATCAATCAAGACTTCTTGTTGTTTCATGCATCTTAATCAATGACAGGTTCATCATATTCTTGCTCTGATAAACCTTCTTCTACTATAAACATTAAGCATGTTGTTCCCTTGGTTTTGGACCTGGGTCGTATGAATTATAACATATGGCGAGAGTTATTTGAAACTCATTGTCTAGGATTTGGTGTTGCTCATCACCTTTAACCCCCCAAATCCAAGGAAATCGATGATACTGTATGGATTAGAGTCGATTCCATTGTTAAGTCATGGATTTACAACATCCTTGCTCAGCTTTTGTTACACATGATTTTGGAAAAGAAAGCCATTGCTCATTCTATATGGGTTGATCTTGAAAAACTTTTTCAAGATAACAAGGAAAACAAAGCTCTTCAACTTGAATCGGAGTTGAGAAACATCACCATGGGTGATTCTTCTATTGCGGACTACTGTAACCGTATAAAAACCATAGTTGTTTTTCTGGAGAACCTTGATGCTCCTATTCCTGAAAGAAATCTGGTGTCATACACTCTTAGTGGTCTAACAAAGAAGTTCTAGTACATTGCCACCATCATCTGTCATCAAAGGTCGGCTCCGTCTTTCATGGACACTTGCTCTATGCTAATCATGGAAGAACATCAAATGCTTCAATATGATCAAAAAATCATTGACATGCCTCACTCAGATCATTCATCTTCCCCTACTATTCTTGCTACTGATGGCTCCTATCAACATCAAAACAAATCTCGAGGCTCCAATAATTTTCGTGGTGGATGGGGTGGCTGGAATGGTCGTGGTGGCAGGGGCGGTAGATCGTGAGGTAGCAGGTTTGGCGGTATATCTCAATAGCGACAACAATCTCAACCACCATTCGGGTGGGCTTACGGATGGTACCAGGTCCAACAGGAGCAACCGGCCCAACAAGGCCTACTGCCGAACCCAGCTTCACCAGCCCAACAACACTTTAGCGGCTCCAAGCAATCTGCCCAACAACCTCATTTTTTCTTTGGGCCTCCATCTGTACCTATCCAACAAGCATTCGTATCCCCTCATCAGGTCCAACAACAACATGAACAACCCACTGCCATTCCGGAAATGTTTAATGTTATGTCCTTAAATGATCCGGCAAATGCGGGCTGGTACATGGACACCGGTGTTACCTCACATCTTCATGCAAATGCAGGTATACTTAAAACTGTTTTAGATAAAAGCAATTTTTATTCATCTATTTTAGTTGGGGACGGATCCACAATCCCTGTAAGTAAGGTTAGACACACCACAATTCCTCTCCCTAATCATTATCATACTCTTGTTTTGCAAAAAAATTTAGTCACTCCCTAAATTATTAAAAATCTCATTTATGTCCGTCATTTTACTTGTGACAATAATTGTTCCATTGAATTTGACCCTTTTGGTTTTTCTATGAAGGATATGAAAACCAAACACATTCTCATGCGATGTGATAGCACCAATGACCTCTATCCGATCACTACTCCTTCTCCTCAAGCATTCGTTTCTGTTGCTCCGCTTGTCTGGCATCATCGACTCGGTCACCCCGGTCATCACGTCTTCAAGCAAATTAGTTGATAGTCGAGTTATTTCTTGTTCAACCAATAAATTTTCAACTTTATGTCAATCTTGTCAATTGGAAAAACATGTTAAATTGTCATTTACTTTATCTAATTATGTTTCTGAGTCGCCTTTTGAACTTGTTTACTATGATGTTTGGACCTCTCCAATCACGAGTATTAGTGGCATTAAATATTATGTTATCTTTCTTGACAATTTCTCTTATTTTTTGTGGGTTTATCCCTTACGTGCCAAATAAGATGTTTTTTTTCTAAATTTATTCATTTCCTGTCTATTGTTCAAAATCAATTCAAAACCGATATTAAAGGCCTACAATGTGATAGTGTTGGGGGTTGAGCATTCTAACACACCTATGGTGTACATGCAACCCTAGAAACCTTGGATCCATGTTTTCTGTAAGATACATGAAAATAATAATTTTCCAAGGTTTACGTCCTAACTAGCATGTTATGGGGTACTTGAATCATAAAATACTATTAGGATTACATACCTTTTAGTAGTGGTTGATTGCTTGGAGTTTGAGAGCCTAGCACCAATAATGTAGATGCCTCAAATGGAAGTCACAAATCACCACAAACTTTGGAAGCTTGAGAGAATAGTAACACACTTCTAGAAATTGCCCACACTTTAGTTCTCACACTAAACTAGTGCCATTTCATGTGCCATGGACCCCTTTATATAGTGTGGTGGATTAGAGTTACATTCATGTAAACCCTAATACCCATGACCTTTCATTTCCATGAGATCCATGGGTTAAAGCTCCATGGACTATCCATGGACTTTCCATGCAAGCCTAGCCCATTCTAAATAAGCAATAGCCCACACTATATAATACAAGAGCCCATATTTAATTAGTCACCTTTTTATCACCAAATTAATTCTAAATTAATTCTAGATCAATACTAATTAAATAATATGATTTTATTTTAATATATTAGAACTTATAATATATTAATAAATCATAAACATAGTATTCTCAAAAGATTATCCATAAATTGTTTGAGTGAAGTGCAACCCAAATGGACCATGTCGGGTCGGGTCAAGTACATCTCAAATATAGTTCTGGACTTAGACACCTTATCCAACAATCTCCCACTTGGCTAAGTCTAATAACTATAGTTGCAAGCATGATTTCAGGAACTGACCGACAATTGTAGCTCTTAAAACTCTGTTGAACTATGAAGTGCCATTTTAGATAAGAGATCATATAATCCTCTATTCTAGATATCATCCGGACAAATACATGGAACAATCTCGTACTTACTGTTTAGCAGTTTGTTTTCCGATTTCCGATTTGTTTGACATAGAACTTAATCGAACACATCAATTTAGTTCTGTCAGGTCCCGGTGCACAGGTCAAAACAAAATCATCGAGGGGCCCAGATATCGCTTCTAATCCAAGAAGGAACAGATAAACTTCGAATCATATGTTTGTTCTACTCCTTGTTGAATTATACACAAAGGTACGTTTTATGACATCAAGTTACTGATGCATTTTCGTACAATTAATGCATAACCAACTCATAGGCAACAACTCATATCTCTAGGTTTGAAGACTTATATGATATTACCGTCTCACGATCACTCGAGATAAATTCTGTAACGCCCGCAGATCCGGGCTAATCAATTAAGAGATAATAGGGGATAAAAAAGA